AGACTGAGTGAGTGAACCCAACAGTCAACTTGTGACGAGTTTTAAAAATAAGCACTCGTATTACAAATAAAGTTGAGAAAGTCAGAAACCATAGAAAATGGAACATTTGAAAGTACCTCCCTGAAAATTCTTGGACTTGGTTTATGTGTGGGGACGTCAGTCCAGTTGCTCTGTATCGCTCGGATGTGTTGGTATGAATTGAGACTGAGAGCGATATAATAATATATAGTGTTCTCGGAGTATAAACCATTTTTCATTGCGCAAATACTGGGCCACAAACAATTCAGAGAAGTCAAAGTAGATGTCCCTAGTATAGATGACACGTTGTCTGTCTGTCTAAACTCATGTTACTTTTGTGTAATGCGAATATATTGTATTGGTTATACGTGTCAGGCTAATGCTTTAGGACTCCTGTGAGTCGTACAGCTGGCATAGGATGAAAGCAGTCTGCCCGCTTGCACGTGCTGTCGCTTTGTTTACATACAAGACTCTGCCTCTGTTGGTTAGCTTATCATGTAGTGACTCGCTCCGCATTTGCACATACATTCCCATCGCAACACGCAACGAAAGTTTCTTTAAGCAATAGCTGAAGAATCCTGAAAGATTTGTAATACATGCAACACCTCAGTAACGGGGTCAACTCCCTGCAGCAACCTGACTCAGCACACTATTGTTTGACAGTTGCTTCATTCACACCTGCATGAAATACACCATGCATATACTGACTGAGTGGTAGCGCATTTGGTAGAAGTGATGTTCACTTCCTTTAAATTAATAGCATTGAAGTATTGCCAATAACGAATTTTATTCCAATAAGCCATATTTGTTAAAATAGGTAGGACTTATTGCAAAATACAGTAATGGTGTAGAGAGTCATCGTGTACATTGTTGAATAATATGGGTTAGATTGATAATAAAAAAATTCCATTAATATTTATATATTTGCATGTTTTGCCTGTGCGCTGCTTCACAAATCGTGGATTTTCATGCTATCAAGGGACGACTGGTTTTTTATGTTAATGTTTCTGCACAGCATATGTCTGGATTAGCTTAAAACATTTTTGCCTTTGTTGGATGCAGGCAATCATCAAGGCCAGATGTCGCGACTGTTACACCTATCGATCCTGAGCCAGGAACATCTTGTGCTACGAAAGCTATTGTGTCTTCAGTCTGGAAGCAACCAGTTCGAATGACCTCAATCATACTGGGTCAAGAAACAGGTATTACAGCATTAACCCATGTTACTCTAACACAGCAAATGTTTAAGCCCCTCATTTAATTTGCTCTTTTTAGTTTACTACCATAAATTTTGCACATGTTTTTAGGGACTGCATACATGTAACCTACAACTGTCAATCAATATCCTTAATAATAGTCATCCCATATCATGCCCAATATGTAAAAATGGCAAAGTTAATGCCAAGTGAAAGCAATGAAGACGTGCATTCAGATCATTGCAAATTTTTTTTACATAAGTAGCAGATAACCCGTACTATAAGTTCGCCGAATAGCGGAGAAAGGTTCGTGTTAAAATAAACGCTCCCCAGGTCTTTCGGAACTTAGCACATTTCCCGTCCTAGATGGCTTATCTTAGCGAAAGTGTTGATACTCCACCAGAGGGCTCGGAATTCAACAGCCAAACGCACTGACGGCCAATTGCCGTCGGTGCCCGTTTTGTTTTTATCAAATGCGCCGTAACTGCCCCTGAAAATCCAACGCCGACCGACGGCAGTCACCTGCCTTGCCCTTTTTGTGTAATTGCCCGTCGTGCCGTTTAATCTAAGCTGGCCCTAGTTTCGTGTTTTAGCTCGAGTCATACAATAACGTGCGTGCGCGTGTGCTGTAGTTGCAATGACGAGCTTGAAACCCGATAGCATACGGCACAGGAGGGCTAGAGACCAGTAACAGAGCATCGAGAATGTAGATCTCGTTCCACCTCGATATGCGGCAATGTAAAGAGTTATCTTGTGCACACTTGTACCTCCTTCCATTAGCATGAGGGGGGGTACAGGGTCGGTGTTACGGCGTGTAAGCTCTACATCGGAGCATATTTGATAAGATAACAGTTAAGATAGCAAATAGAGCGTATCGTTGGATCGTGTATGCTAATTTTAGTATACTGCAGTTCTTTCGCTTTATTTCTACAAAAGTCGGCCTTTGCGTGGCCCTTCTCAAATTTTAGAGTTGCTTGGTGGCTCTTTTAAAATTGACCTCTGTGGCCCCTTCCATTTTAGAGAATAATTGCGAGAGGAGTTCTCGTAGTGGTTATCTCACACTGCCCTAACTTAATATAAATGTATTCCTCATTGGGCCGGTTGTCTCCCGCGCAGCTTAATTCGAGCCCCTGGCTTGTACCAGATCCTAATTCTTTTAATGTTTTCGCCAATGTTCTCGGGACAAAACCCTGGCATCCACTTGGAACTTGAAAAGTTATCCTGCGCTGGACCCGCTAAACATTTATCTTAAAGGACAATATCGTCATCAGCTTGTTGTCCTGTATCGAATCAAAAATTATTTGGACTCGCAATAGAAATAGAATAGCAGTCACATCATTGAGAAGGCGAACATGAGACATGATTGACTGCACTCAAGTTCTAGTTCTGGGCTTACTTGTGTAGGATCGGTTGTTTTCAGAAAGATTAGTTTTAGCGATTGTTGAAATAGTAAATCGTAGAGTTAATGGTATATTAATATAATTTATCAAGCTGATGTCAATACATTTTTAAGCAGTGTTGCGAAAAAATTAAATCGTACGCGGAGTCGTCGGAGTCAAATACTCCCTGTGATTTACCTTGTCGAGACTCCCTGAGTTTGACTATTAATGTGCAGCAGATCCGTCGTGGCTCCCTGAAAAATTTTGCCATACTAACTATAGGTTTGTCGCGAAGGCACGTCCTGCAGCGAATTACTGTATTTTTTTCAGGCTAATGCTCAAAGAAAATTTGGCCGAGGAGCGTGCAAACTGCATAATGCTTAAAAAACATAGTCTGCACAATTGCGTTCTATTGGTGTTAATAATCTTTAATTTTGAACCTCAGACTGCACGACTCCCTAATTTGCGCATCTCTTTTTTGAGGGCGATAAGGGAGTCTGTTGAACTCCATTGGTTCAAGAAGGAATTAAAGATTCACATGACCACGTCATGAGTAAGGAAAGTACAGTTATCACTCAAAGACTAATATACTAAACTGCTGTAAGATGGTTTCTTGTAACAGAAATAATTAGGAAAATGTCAAGAATATAACCTCTGAAAGAGAGTTTTGTGGTTGCTGGTCAAAACTCCGAGATGTGGGGTGCACCCCCTAGTTATGACTCATGTATTGTGGCACTACCTTTTCCAGCCCAGTGTAGTTTTTGTCTAGTTGTGGAAGAACCTGCATAAAATAAATCATAAAAACTCATAGCTTTCTTAACTCATCTTAAATGAAAGTAGTTTGCGTTGCTTTTGGTAAAAGCAATTAGTTTACTGGGAGGGATGTGTATGATTTTTATCAACTATCTTATCAATACATGTTAGCAGACTACATTTCTAATTAAGGTAAATCTATAATTACATTTATCTTGGGCAATACTTGTGAAAGATAGCTTGATGGAGGAAATGCCAATATATGGTAAGATAGCCGACAAATCAAGAGTTATAACAATTGTACAGGTATTTGTTTATTCGAGCTCTCGTAGTCGTGTGTTTGTGTGTTCGTAGTGTTTCGCTGCGAGTAGCTCGATATTAGCGGGCGTCAGGCAAGCGAGGCCGAGCACAGCCAGCGCAGGCGGAGCCAGCAGCGCAGCGAGCCAGCCAGCGCCAGCGGAGCCAGCGAGCGGTGCATGGAGCGTGCAGGCACAACGAGCCGTGCTAACGAGCGAGCAACCATCCAGCTCTAGCGATGTGTTTGGTGAGGAGTGGAGCCAGCTCCGCAGCAAGCAGTCAGCAGGCAGCAGGCAGCGAGTGGACGAGCCAGCTGCGTAACACATACACGTTACATGGGAAGCCGTGGTACATCGTCAGTACGCACTGGTCGTGATATGCGTCGTTATCATGTGTTCGTGATCGTATGGCATATTATGGCGTATTCGACTGCTGGTAGTTATTGCTAGCTCTCCTGTTGAGTTGCAGCTCTGTCTATGGTTAGATTTTTGTGTGACTAGCGGCTTTATTTTCTCTGTCGAGTGGTCAGGTACTAAGCGTGCGCACGTCCATCCGTTGACAAGATACATCGTCTAGAGATTGTTAACGACCACCCCGAGCCTCTTCTTGAAGATGACTCCAGAGCTTTTTGAGCTTAAGAGCATTGCAATGATCAAGTAATGGTTTTAACAGAAATTGTGTTGAAGTGTGACTTCACTATCGTCAGGGCCCCATAATGAGTAGTATAATGTGCTGCAACTATAGCTTTCATATGTCAGTTATGAGTTGTGTGGAACAGAAGTACAATCAATTCTTCTGTCTAGTGCATTCAAGAAGTACTGATTGAATAGGGTAATACTGGAGGTTGATTATGATATATTGCAGATAAAGCGAATATTATGAAGTAAGTTAATCTGTTATTCAGTGTTCAGTTGTTCCCTATTTTATGTACAAATACTTTTGCAGAATGATACTTTCTCAAAGCCTGGAGGTTAGGGGGCGGGGGGGGGGGGGGGGGGGGGGGGGGGGGGGGGGGGGCGTGAGGGGAGGGGGGGGCGGGGGCGAGGGGTGGTTTGTGTGGTGCGGTGGGGCGGGGGGGGGGGGGGCGGTGGGCGGGGGTGGTGGGAGAGGGGGGAGGGGGGGGGGAGGTGGGGGGGGGGGGGGGGTAGGGGGGGGGGGGCGGGGGGGGGCTTTTCAGTGGAAACTGACTTTCAAAACACGGGATTCAGGCCAGGATAATTATGTGATGCAAACAAGTGTACTCAGGTACGGTTGAAAAGCATCAACAAGTTGTATAATAGAAGGTTACTTACATTCATTTCTTTAATAGAAATCTAGAATTGCGAAAGAGTTGTCATTGCTTTCATTACGTATAGGGAGGGTGGTAAAAATGCCTTAGAAGAAAATAAGCATGTTTGTAGGTGTATAAGTATCATGTAGCAAAATGTGTTCGCAGTCCAA